CCTCAAATTACCTTTGTGTAATCCTTAAAACCTTCTAAATGCAGTTAATACGTTTTTTTTCAGTAAAACTTTAGAGTTTACCCAATCTCAAAATGGGATTGGTCAATTCAACCAACCTTGTAACCACCCAGAAAAAAAAAATCTAAATAAACCTAAATAACCATTTTTTCTTTCTAGAATGACTTCAAATTGTAACATGAAACTACATTCATTTATCCTAAGTAGCTCTAAGTTCGTAACAGTATACATCTATTTATAATTAAATTTTGTTGTTTTATTGCCCTTTGAACTGTGTTTAACTACTATCCGTGCCATTATAAGTAGTAAATCTCTCGGAGAATGTGCATGTCACATTACGCTATCAAATCATATTACCCACAAGCTGCTTGCATGCATTGCTTGCCTTGTGAACCATTTTAATTATATTATTATTATTACTTATTTTACCTAATCTAGTCTTAAATAACTTAAAAAGATACGTATTTTTAAATTCTAGTTACTTTTATAATAATAAATAAAGACTAAATATGAAAAACAAGAAATAAAGTACTTACCCAATATTCTTTTTTCTTGTTCTCGATTGTCCAGGACAATTAAGCCTAATTGTTATAGTAATGCACTTAATTTTTTTATTAATTAAATCATGCACCAAAGAACACAGAATAATAACATGGAAAAAAACAGACAATATCCCTTACCTCTCAAAATTTTTCTGGCTTTCTAACTATGCGACAAGAGCCGTTACAAATTCATCCATGCTATTCATTAACTTTCCCATGGGAAAGAATCTTATACTGTGAGTGAAATTGACGATATTCTGTCTAGAATACAATACCTCATTTGATAGATGAAAACCTTGACTTTCAATTGGTTATAGGTAATATATAATGAAACGTAAGAGAACTATCAATAAATTGTGAAAGAGAGGATGTGACAAATGGGTGTGGCAGGAGGAGTCTGATTTTCTATTCGATAGCTCTGTAACAAAACATAATTGAAGATTATAAAAATTATGGTTTGTCTGAGCAATAACGATTTTATAGAGAGTAATTTAAGTTTAATTTCATACTTTTTCGAGGGGTGGTGGATAAAATAGGGATGATGACATGCTAAGACAAGAAATAAATGAAAACAGTTGGTGATCTTGTAACAAAAGCTTGGAAATGAAACAAAAAATGTGGGACTAAAAACCCTTACTTTTAAGTTTTAATGTACTTAAATTACCTATGTCTATGCCAACATGTATAATTATTCTAATTTTTTCCTAACACCTCTTGAAAATGTAGGGACAAAACTATATCTTGTTTCCCTCATTTCTTAGGTCACTGTGTGAAGTATGGTGATTTATAGAAAGGGTTCCCAAACTTGAGGCCATAGCAAATACACAATTCTGTTTTCAAGATTCATTGTGAGGGAGTCTCAGTCGTGATGTGAAATGTCCTGGGGAGAGGGAGTGGGGCTTGTGCTGAGAAAGTCTTGGAACCCTTGAATTATATTACTTTATTTTATTTGAAGTACAATCAATAGCTAGGTGTTGAGCAGAAAAGTTAGTTGAAGTAAGATTTCAATTTTGAAATAAAATAATCAAAAATAAAACTGTTACATTAATTTCTGTCCATACAAAGTTAAAACGGTTCCAGTCTCTTCCGACTGTTAAATTGACTTAGCAGTTACAGTTTTATATTAACCAAAAAAAAAACATGTTAATTCATGTCCTTCAAAAGACCAAATATAGTGCCAGTTTTCAATCTGAATGGTACCTTATATATATGTGGTCTAAACAAATAGATCAGAGACTCATAAGGCTGAGAAGAAACTGTTCTATATTTTGAGCTACTGACCAAAAAACAGCACCTATAAAGGTTCTGTCTAGTTCTTTGAGCAAAAGAACAGGACTGCCTATCATTTTTATAACATACCCAAAGCTCAAAGTGTGAAATGTATTCAGCAGCATCACGTCTTGAACTTTAGACCACCCAACTCACAGACAAACAATCCACTAAGCCACACTTAGACCAAACATCTTTTCATTCACATGAAGTATTTATCTGTAGTCTCTTTGCTTTACACTAAACCAATGGCAATAAATGTAAATATCACCATGCACCATAATTTGGAAAACACAGGACACATTTACAAAATAGCAATTTATAAGTTAAAAATATTTACATTTTAATATACAAGAAAGGATATTAAAATCAAATATTAAAAAAAGATGAACAGTTAAAAGGCAGATGTTTAATAAGTTAAAAATGATCAATTGATGTCAATATTCATAATAGTTTAAAATCCTTTTACTCCAAAATGTAGTTCAAACACTCATCATATTAAGAACCATACAAAAGTGATGAACATTGTAACCTTCTTCAAAGTTTTGTGAGACAAAAAAGAATTTCTAGTATCATTGGGAGCAAAAGAAAAATCAGGTAAAAATATTTTTTATACAAATACTTAATGTATAACATAAATGTATTTGAACATAATAAGACCGTCTCATCTGATGTAGAGTTTTTAAACGTGTTTGAAAGTTTATGGGTTCAAATACACCTCAATTATAGATCAATGAAGTATTAGTTTGAAAATCTGTTTCTCATCTTAGAAGTTACTTTATACCTTAGACTATTAACTCTTCCTCTACTAGCATCTTCTTCTGTGCATGTCACGAGGTTTTTAGTGAGTTGCATTCAAAATTTAATTAAAACTACTTTCTTTCATGCTATATCATTAAGTATAGCATAAAAACGTAGCTAATAATCCATATTTTAATAGTATACAAGATTTAAATTCTTAATTTTATAAGGCAATATTAAGAAGAATCCTAAATTTCCTCTAGTGAGCAAGTTGCCAGATTTTCTCTCTCTAGGTATCCCCTCTTCTCTACTTTATTTACTACTGCCCAAGAAGCATGAAATTTAATGTCAATTTCTCACTAAAATGTTGTAAATGCTCAGACAAAGCATAACTTTTATGGCTTTCAATCTTATTTAGTTACAGAGCCATCAAATAGAAAATCAGGCCCCTCTTGCTACATCCATCTGTCATGTCCTCTCTTACAGGAATTGCCAATAGTTCTCTTTGAAATTCAGTACTATGGTATTTATAACAAATAGAAAAGCCCAGGTTTTCATTTAACAAGTGATATATTATATTATGTTGCTTTCTGTACAGAGAATTGTAAATTTCATTTTCAGTACAAGCTTTATTCCCATGAGAAACACATTGACTAGGTAAGACGAATTTGTAACAGTTCTTGTTGCATAGTTAGAAAGCCAGGAAAATTGTGATAGTTAAGGGACATTGTCTGTTTTTTGCATGTTATTATTCTGCATTCTTTGATGCATGATTTAATTAAATAAAAACTTGTTTAGTTCAGTACTTCCATTAGTATAAAAAAAGTATGGTTAAGTGTCATCAACAGTCAACAGAAAAAATTAAAAATGTTTATTCTTTATTTATTATTATAAAAGTAAAATGTAAAAATAGGAAATGGTTTAGGTTAGTTAAGGTTAGATTAGGTAAAATAAATAACAATAGCACTAACATAAACTATGATTTACTTCATTAGTAAATCTGATTTTTGTATATACAAAAGACTTGTAATGTTTACTGAAAGTCTACCAAGTTTTGTGAAGATATACATACTGTATTAAGAATTATAGCAAAGAAACTATAATGAGTAAAAAATGGTTACAAGGTTGGTCAATTCTAGAATTTGAATACTTCCTGTAATTTTAACCAACAAAAAACATGAACAATTGCCCAAGAATATAACTGTATATATCTTTCCATATTCCTACTAACATAACATGTGAGCAAACTAATTCTTAGATTAAAAGTCTGAATATTTTATAAAAACCCATCAAAGAAAAATGCAAACTGATATTACCTTAGAATCCAGATTTGCATATTTTATTTGTTCTTCTTTCAACTGGTTTTGGAGATCTTTCTCTCTCTCTACTGTCTCATCCATGGTTTTATGGAGTGTTTTGACTTTTTCTTCTTGATGTGTTATTTGGTTTAATGTTACTTGGTTCTGTACAGTAAATATATTATAAGCAATTTCTATTTTAGAGAGAAAATATACATAATTGTATTTGTCATTAAAAATTAATCTATTCAAAACACTTTGGGTGGTTTTATCATTGTTTTTAACCTATAAATCAAATAAACTAAGAAAAACAAAGTTATTTACAGTTCACAGTCAGCTAGAAAACTAAATACATGAAACTTAAATTACCACGTGTATAGCTAAATGCTCCTTTTAGTTCTTCCATTTTGGCTTTAAACTATGACACAGTACAAATTGAAATATTGTAAGTGAACAACAATACCTCAAAACTTGAAATTTCAGTACTTGCTTTAAAGCATGGCTAAAGATAGAACAGTAAATGAGAGAATTTTGAGAACTTTCAGCTGACAGTCCTAAAATGAAGATGGTCTTTAGAAAACTGTACCTCAAATGATTCAGTTCACTCTAGTAATTGAAACTAACTTTTTAAACAGTATAAAGATAATAAAAATATTGAACTTCTCGTTTTCTAGTTTATGAAGTGTTAGGTAGATAAAAGAAATATATGAAAGCATTAACAGCATTATATTCGTGTTTCTATTTATCTTATTTCAGAAAATAAAGATAATTAAAAAGGAACGATTAAATGTGAAAGCATTTTAATCAAGGTTTATGAAAGGACAATGATTCACCTGAGCTTCTAGTTCCATTACTTTCTGATGAAGTTCCTTGAGCTCTGCTATAGCATCAGCTTCATGCATCCTAGCTGAGATAAGTTCTTCTTGAAGTTGCATGATCAGTGTTTTCTCCCGTTTCTTGGAAGACAGGGGCGAACCTGCTTTAGATTCATCTAGATGTTGCTAGAGTTGTAAAATTAAACACAAAATTAAAATTCCAACTTTCGTGTAGTAGAGACAAGTACTGTTGGAAGTACCTGGTTATCACACAAAGCTTTTAATATAAAAGCTTAACTTTAAAGATAAAAATATTTTGAAATCTAGTACTTTTATATCTACATTCCTCCTCAATAAGTTTGGCAAAAATTATAGTTATAGGAGTTGCTAAGACAATATTTGAGGTCATAGCATCTAATCTTCTTGCTTACTGAAAATATAAACCAGAAAGTTAAACCCACATGCCATGCCCTCCTGTCACATCTTGTCTTTCAAAAATGGCAATAATTCTCTCTGACATTTGTTATTGGATTATTTATAACCAACAGAAAGAGCAGGTTTTAATCTACTGAATTCTTTATAAAATTAACTCATTCTAATGAGGGTTTTTGAATTATTTAGCCAACAGGTTTATTGTTTACTGCCAACATCACCTTGACCAGCTAACAGAATTATTGTAATCCACTTACAGCTTATTTATAAAGCCAATTAAATTATAATACTTGTAGGACATTGTATTCTTTTGTTTTATTAGCATGTTTTAAATTGCATATCGAAAATAAATAAAAATAACAAAAAGTACTACCAACAAACCTACCATAGAGTACGATTAAATATTGAGACTTAAAAACTTGAAAAAGTACAAAACCCATATGTAAACACCAAAAATTTTTTATGTATATTTTTTGTTGTTGTAATAGTAACTAACATGTAAAATCCAGAAAATTACTAAGTAGAATTACCCTGCTGTGATAAATTACTTTTACCATACTCTTCAAGTGCAGTTGTAAAGCAATATATTTAAATGACCAGGAGATTCGAAAATAATTAGTTTTGAATGTAAGAATGTTTCTTAAATAGCGTGAAATCGTTCGTTACAATACGTAATCATTCCAGAAAGAAGAAAATGGTAATTTAAATTTATTTCATATTTTTCAACTTTACATTTTACCTTACATTACTGATTCTGTTACAGTTAATAAAAATAAAACATATAAAATATAATTTTTTTTTCTGAAAAAAAAAAAGTTTGATATTCATTTAGGAGGTTTTAGAGGTTATGAAAATTTAATATGAAAAGAAAGATTTTTATTCCTAACGTGAAAATATTTTGCACTGAAACTTACTCGGTAAAGGCTTCATAAATTCAGATAAAAATCTTTAGTAAATATACTTTATTAAAAATCAGATTTTTTGTGTAACAGACATGTAGTGTTTACTAAAAGTTTGCCAAAGTTCCTGAAGATACATTTATTCAAATTCACAATTATAATATGTATAATTTCATGGTAACATGGTTAGTTAAAATGACCGAGCTCACATATGGAGTTAGAAAAAAACAACTGAAATTTAGTACTTCTGTAGCTCTCCTATATAAAACCTAGCTTCAAATACAAAACAAATTATGAAATTTAGTATTTATTTAGAATATTCAAAAATCAAGTTATTAATTATCCCAGAAAGAACTTTTGCAAATAAAAAAGGTGTTTTACTTTGTGCAAACTGTGGATTTTTCAAATAGGAAAATACTTTAGGAAATCAAAAGAAATCTGGTTGACAACAGCATCAGGAAAGAATATCTATGTAACTCCCAAGAGTAAATACATTAACTAAAGTATAAATTTTGCTATGTCAACAAGTAAACTAAAAAATGTATGTGCTTTCTGCTACAGTCAATATAAATTCCAATAATAAATATACATTTGGGTAGCATTGACTTTTTGTAGGCTTTACAACAGTTTATCAAAAACGGATACTAGTAGACTAAAACTAGATTTACCAGCCAGACTATTTGTAAATCAGACACTTTTTGTCGAAGTTCTTTCATGGACAAGTTTGCTTCAGCCTCTCTTAGTTTAACAGAAATCAGTTCTTCTTGCAATTGAGCTAGTGTCTTATCAGGAGTAGTTTCTCGTAGTTGCTTGTTGGCCTAAAGAATAAAAAAAGAACAGATTTAATTAATTATGGTACCTTTATATTTACCAGTATAGTAAAATATAGACAAAACAAAAACAGTAAAGGGTTTTCTAATGATTTTTTATTATTTTTGAACACATCTTCCAGCTTAGTTTGAATTAAAGTATATCCATCAATTCAATAATCCTTTTATAATAATAATAAAAACAACAATAAAAAATAAGAACGAAAACAAAACAATCAAAACTAAAGTTCTCACCTCTTCCAGCTCTTGGATTCGCCCTTTTAAATCTTGCATAATTTCGTCTTTCTCTGCTTCTCGAAGCTTGACCACTACTAGTTCTTCCTGTAATGACTGTATCAAGTTGTCACTAGAGTTTTCAATGGATGGAGGTTGTGATCCAGCCTATTACCAATAGATGACAAAGAGATAAATTTCACTCATGAGAGATAAGTGAAAATTTAAATATAAGCAGATGAAAAATATTATCAAAAATCATACATAAAAAGGATTGTTAAAACAAACTAATTTTTAACTTAAATAACAAGATGTGATTTAGTTAAACACTTTAATTAATATTTTGTTGATTAATTAGGCAAAATTCATACAAAAGAAAATATGCATACACATGTTATATTACACATTGATGTAACTACCCTCTTCACATCACACGCATACTGAAGGATCAAATATCAGCATATTATTAGGCTCTTATAAATATTATTGAAAAAAAAGTTTGGGGATTTATTACCTCACTAAGAGCTCGGACTTGTTGATAAGCCAAATCCAATTCTTCTTTAACCGTTTGTTCTTTATCTCTAAGATCTGCTAACTCTTGTTTGATGGTAAAGTTATCTTCAACTTCTTGAGCACGGCTAACCTGACCCTGGATGAGCCGGTCTGCTAGAGCTGAGCTTTCCTGAAAAAAGACATTGTTCTAAGCACTTGTACAATCAAAGCATAAGACATATATTTAAGTGTTAAGTTAACAATATATATCACATAACCAAGCATGCCTTTATATAAAAAGCTCTGGTTGGAGATTATTAGAATACGTAACCATGTAATATATATGAAACTTATATTTTCATTCCTTCCTTTTCTACTCAATGCTTTGCATAATGGAAACAACCATACAAGACATAATTTATAAAGGTTTGAGTGTTAAAGTTTTTGTGAAAGTACATATTTGTAAAGCTTTACAAAATATTCCCAATTAAAATTACTTTACATTATATTTCACTGTTGTTGAAACTGAGAGTTTAAGGTTAAGAGGAATGGGCATTAAAGTAATAGTTTCATTCAAATACTTCCATCACGAAATCAATACGAAACAACCCTAGAAATAAAAATAAGAATGCATGATATGTATGAAGTTAGGATCATCAACAGAGCCTTAAAAAATGTAGTTCCAAGAAAGCCTATAAGAAAAAGTTCCAGTTGAAATATCCAATCTTTCTTATGTAATAAGAGATTTGTGAAAGACAATCATTAGACATTTACACTGTAAGCAAAAAAGTGAAGTTGGTCTATAATGGTGTGTGCTATATTATTGGAACTGATGGTATTATGAACAGGAAACAGTATAAAAACATCCTGTACTCAGTGGACTAAAGTTAATTGTTACAGATAATGATACAAAACATATGGACCTGATGAACAAAAGTTACTTGAAAGAAGATGAAAAAGCTAGAAATATAACAGTGAAAAATGACCAGCTCAAAGGCTCATTCCTAATGCACAAATTGACAAGTAATGTTGCAAACAAAATGTAAACTAACCTACAGCAACCCTGGGACAATGCACAGCTAAATGAAAATATTGTTGACAATCTCAAAGTTATTACTCGAACTTTTATGTTCTAAAATGAGCTTATTATATCCAAGACTCTAAAATTAAGTATAAATATAACAAGTAAAACAATACAACATTATTCTTTTGCAACCTTTCTTTAAAACTTTAGTGTTGATATTTTAGGATCAAGACCTTGAACACTATTTTGTGTGTGTGTTTGTGTGTATGTATTTTAAAAGAGCTATCATACTATGGCATTCTCACTAATCAGTTCAAACAGCCCACCTGTTCCAAGTTTTCTATCCTCTGTCTCAATAGTCTGTTCTCAGTACGCAACCTCTGTCAGTAAGAAAAAAGATACATAAAGTAAATACACAGTTGTAAAATTAGATGGAGAATAAGAGTTATGTTGTAAATTGTGAAGTGATCCAAAACAAACAATCAAATAACTTTTTATTTTTTTCAAAACAACAATTTAGATGTATTTTGTGATATTTAATTTTTTTTCATACAAACTTGTATTGATAAAAAAGTTCCAAACAAAACTACCCTACAAATCAATTATTTCCTTATGCTGTTTTAACTGCCTAAAAAACAAGTTTTTACATTTAACTTCTTTATTACGGTATAATCCTTCTCAAGTCTACAAAGTGAAAAAAAAACATTTTCACATGACTGAAATACAAGATATGTATTCCTAAGTAGATAATAAAGATCACTATAACAAGAAGCTACAGTTCTTATTGATGACATTCATTTTTTTCAAAGAACTACCAATTTATAATATAATATTCTCATTTCTTAATTGGAATACAACTTAGTTTAAAAAAATGAAAACAGAATAACATGAATACTTGCTGCTCTTCACTACCTTGACTGGTGATTTATGTGTTACCAACCTATATTTAAGGCTTTAACAAGCATTCACTGTGGTTACTATCGAAGATTGTCAATTCTTTACAGCAACTGTAAATATTCACTAGCCTGATGCCCAAAACTACAAAAGTTTGAGTTTGGGCTATTGTGAAGTTCATACATAAATTGCTCAGTTATTTAGAGCAGTACTGTTTGAATGAAATATATGCATATTAAAAAAAAAACAACTGTATTTGATTATAGAAATTTAAAAAACTGCTACCTGTTATTTTTTCTTTCTTAAAATTTTTAAGTATTTACTGTTAAGTGAAATATTTGTAAAATTTGTAGCCTATTTATTGACAATAAACTAATCTATCATAAGTATAACATTCTAATATATGTGCATGATTCAAATACTGACTCATAATTTAGATGCCCTATTATTTAGTTTTGTGTTTAACTCTTTTGCAATGGGCTCAGGATAAAATACAGAGTTCGTATTCACATTAGCACTCGTTAAGTATTTATACTATAACTTCTAACATAGTATGTGTATTTTCACAAAATTTGGTAGACTTTTGGGTAACATTACAAGTCTTTGTTACACAAAAAATCAGATTTTTTTAATGAAGTATTTTTACTAAAAATTTGTTTATGAATATATCAAGTCTGTTTTGTTACTAGTCTGAGTGCACAGTGATTTTCATGTTAAGATTAAAATACTTTTCTTTGTCCTAAAACTTCCTAAATACATTTCAAATGCTTATTTTCAGTATAACTTTATATTTTATCTTTTTTTAAATTCTATACAAGATTAGTCAATTTGACCAACTTAGTAACCACCAAAAAAAATTGAAATATATCTAAATTACCCTATTTTTCTTTCTAGAATGATTTCAAATTGTAACATGAAATGACATTTTTTAGCCTAAGTAACCTTAAACTCGTAACAGTATAGAACTATTTATATTTAAATCTTATTGCCCATTGAACTGTGTCTAACTACTATTTGGATCATTACAAGTTTTAAATCCCTTGGGAAAGTTGGGGCTCATGTTACACTATCGTATTACTTTACTCACGAGCTACTCCGAGCTGCTTACGTGTGTGCCTTGTGAAATTGTTTATTGTTTTACATAATTTAACCTTAACTAGCCTAAAAGATTCCTATTTTTACATTTTAGTTACTTTTATAATAATAAATAATAAAAGAATACATATGAAAAACAAGAAATAAAGTACTTACCTTGATCTCCTTTTTTTGTTGTCAACTACTGATGACACTTAAAGCTATTTTTTTTGTACTAATGGTAGTAATGCACTAAATAGTTTTTATTTAATTAAATAATGCACCAAAGAACATAAAACTAATAACATTCAAAAAGCAGACAATGTCCTATAATTATCACAATTGTTATGACTTTCTAACTATGGGACAAGAGCTGTTACAAATTCATCCATGCAAGTCAATATCTTCCCTATGGGAACGAAGCTTGTACTAAAAGAGAAATTGACAATTTTCTTTTCAGAAAACAGTGTAATATAATATTAGGTCATCAAGATATTAATACTGCTTTTTTTAGATGAAAAAACCTGACCAACTTATATATCAAAACAAAACATTTACTAAATGAAATAGTCTCCATTCTAAGTGATGATGCTTTTCCATCTTACAATCAGGTTGTTAATGCTCTGATTAATCAAATCACTTGTCTTTGAAGCAAAAAAAAACACATGTTGATGTCCTCTTTAACACCTTCCACATTTGCATACGTTTTCCCATAAGATGGTATTGCATCAAACAATAAAGATGGTAATCTGATGGTGCCATATCTGGAGAATATGGTGGATGGGGGAGAATTTCCCAATTCCATAATCTTGTGTTGCGTCAAACATGCCACATGTGGATGTTCAAGTGCATTACGTGCCAAAAGAGACAAAGCAACATTCATACGTTGGAAACGATGATCACCAGAGAGGTCGTGAGGCACCCAAACACCTTCTTTAAGGAATTTTCCCATGTTCCTTATATGTTTACATATTGTTTCATGAGAGACATGCAATTTCAGGGCCATTTCACAAGTGTGTTACCTTGGGTTAGACTCAACAAGCATCTTCAGAGCATCAATATCATTACTAACAAAATTTGCTTAGTCATCGTTGACACTTACAAACACTCAACACATTTCCATAAACTTTGATATTCTTTGTGGCTACAGAGGCATTGTTTCCATTCAAACAGCATTACATGTTGAATGTGTGTCTCATCATGTGCCATCACTATAAGGGGTTAGAGTATAATAAACTTTACACATTATGTAGGCTACACTAACATGATGTTTAGGTGGTTCATTTAACTATTATACGTGATGTACGTTATTTAGGGGGTGGTTAATGAAAGTTTTACAAAACACAACATTAATTTCCTGACGACCTAATACATCATTTGACAGATGAAAATCTTGGCTTTCTATTGCTTATAAATAATATAATATTATACATAAGAGAGAACTGTGAATAAATCCTTAAAGAGAGGATGTGACAAGTGAATATGGCAAAAGGGGTCTGATTTTATAAAAATTGTTTTGTCTGAGCGATGACAACTTGATAGTGAGTAATTTACCTTAAATTTCATACTTATTGGAGGGGTGGTGAATAAATTATGGAAGAGGGGAGCCTCAAGAATAAATGTCCCATTTCTCACACTATGGGAAATTCAGGAATTTTTTAATATTGCCTTATAAAATCAAGAACTAAAAATTGTACACTATTAAAATATGGATTATTAGCTAAGATTTTATGCTATGCAAATTGGCATAACATAAATAAAAAGTAGTTTAATTACATTTTTAATGGGACATGAGCAGTGAAGGCTGTAAAAATTATGGTTTGTTTGAGCAATAACAATCTTATAGAGAGTAATTTATGATTAATTTCGTACATTTTTGAGGGGTAGTGGATAAAATAAAGATGATGACATGTTAAGACAAAATGTGACAATGGGTCACAGTAGTGGAAATTCAGGATTTTTTAAAATATTTCCTTGTAGAACTAATAACTTAAACCTTGTACTCTATTAAAATATGGATTATTAGCTAATATTTTATGCTATTATAATTGGTATAACATAAACAAAAAGTAGTTTAATAAAATTTTGAATGTAAGACACTAAAACATTGTGTCATGTGCAGTAAAGGTTACCCGGGGAGATAGAGTTGAGAAGGGTATGCTGAGTCCAAGAAATTAAAGAACAATAAGATTTTGTAAGATGTCATAGCATTGTGCACAAAATAGTTGAGCCAAGGTTAGAATAACATGTTATAGTTATTGTTTTACATGGAAAATTACCAACATTCTGACTGCTGGCTACATAGACTGATGTTATGGATAACAGGAGTCAGAAGTTTCAGATATCAGAGATACAGTTCAGTTTGAGTCCACCTCCTGATCCAGAATATATGCAACAAGTGCCATTGAGAAATTCTACCACACCAATTTTGTGCAAGTTAACTCGATGTTTGCTTCATCTAGTGATGTAAATTCTCTAGTATGTCTATAGAATCATTAAGAATTGAAGTGACTGACCAGTTGTTAAATGTTGTAGAAATTCTAATGAGTAGATTGGAAGAATTATTAAAAATACTATACAAATTGATAAAAATAATTTATGTGTATTATATGCATGTTTTATGTCCTTTCAATGTGCTGGTTGTATTCATTGTTCTTTACATAAACCTCCTCAAGATGGTAGCTTGTAAACCTTACTCACGACTACATAAAAATATTCTGGAAATAAATAAATTTATATGTTAAAAGTGGAAGTTGAACCCATGACTCACAACACATCCACCTGTTACATTTAAATACATCAGAAATACTCCTTTATGTATGTAGACTAGTTCTCCTATCTATAATTTTATGGCTGTGTCACATATAATGTAGTAGGTTGTATTATATTCAATGTGAAAGGAATACCATTATTCTGTTATGCAGCTGTCATGATGTCAAGAAAATAGTTCAAAAAATCAATTAAAGACAAAAATACAAAACCGTATAACCCAAGCACTTTCGAGAGGAGGACCTTTCTTCATCATGAGCGTATTGGGATCCTTGTTATGTAGCCTGATTATGTGATTGATGGCACCCTAGTCATCATGATAAGTGTGTAATAACTTATTCGTTCTAGTAAAATTTAACAGTTAAGAAAGTAGGATTTTAGAATGGGACTAGTAAATCACTATAACATCTTTAAGCACCTTAACTGATTTTTACCAATTCATTGCCACACTGACAACACATGTGAAATGTGACTGTGCATGCAAGACTATACAAGATAAATTCATGTTCTACTGATGGTGACAGACCATTCTAGCAACATACAATTACTGTACTTTCCCTAATATTAACAATAATGTTGTGCAACAGAACGTTTAAGATTAAAAATTTGCAATGTACATTTTATAACTCAATTAAATGCCTTATGGCATTTTGAAGTGGCTATAAGCTCTCATAATCCATTATGCTCATAAAAAATTACATGTATTCAGGAGATTAAGAACAACTTCGCACTGTCCAGCCTATCCGGTGGGTCAGCTGTAAGTTTACGAAGTTAAAACACTAAAATCTGGGATTCGATTTCTCTCGATGAACAGTATAGACAGCAAACCATATAGTTTTGCACTAAGAAAATAACAGCCTATACTGTTGACCTAAAATGGGATATGGGAAATCTTATTATTATACACACTTTTTTTTATCCACATTATGATCATTAACTTTTTATTTATCCTATAAATTAGTATTGAACAATGCTTTAACACATTTAATAATGGATAGTAGTCTCTATCTTTCATCCTTTTAAACTATAGTTAACAAAGAAGTAAACTATAAAATCCAAGATAATGTTTCCCATGGAGAATATTTGACAAGTTAAGCATATTCCATTATGTTTATTTAATAGTATATCTAGAATAATTAGTTAACCACGACGAGAATAGAGTTAATGTAGGAGATAAACTATTGTTAAAATCTGATGCATGACAGCTAAAATAGCAGTTGCACAAATAAAAAAAATGTCTTTTTAACAACAGTCTAGAATAGATGTTCTATAATAATATTTTAAAAGTAAAAGTCATACATTATAGTTATCTACTGGTCATCAACATAGTCAAAGTTTAATGACATGCTATTAACTTTCTTACTATTTTAATATAACCTCACCCTCATTTCAATCAATTCTTCATGTTCTTTGACCTTTAATGCTGTATAATCTTTCTCAAGTCTAGAAAATGACAGACAACAAAATACATTAAAAAAATTATCTTGTTTTACAAAATTATTAGAATATTTCAAAGTCTCTTCCAAAGATACACTAAACAAACGTTCATTCTGACAGGATTTGTAACCAAAACTAACTTCTTAAAGTCAAAACTTTTATAACAATGGAAACTGCAGGTGCTTTTTAAAACATTTTTTAAAATTTATCTTTTTTAAATGAAATCACTCTACAGAATTATAACATTAATTAAGTAATTTTTAAGATTAATCAATGTACTAGTTACCAGAAATTAAGACAATAATAATAATAGATTATTACTCTTCAATTTCTGGGATTTTAACATTTTTTTGTAATATTACCCCATAATTTTGCTATTGTCTCTATTCCCTACTACTTTCATATGCTATTCAATTTTAATAGTATACCATTGTACCAAAAATTAAAAAAAAGTTGTTCAAAATATTCTTTATCCATAGATGCAAAACAAAAGCATGAGTTTTACACACCCACTTTTTTCATCCAGTGTGTAAAATATTTTTAACATAACATTTTCAGAGAAATTAATTTATTTTAGTGTACGAAAAGCAACTTAACTTGAATATTCTAAACATTCCTACTTCCTTTGCTATGAATATGCACCCCAAGTTAAACTGAAATTCTCACAAAGTCAAACAATGATAAGAAAAAATTAACACCATTTTTCAATAAAACTTTCTGCACCTTATGGTACAAGACAATATATAATATCTCATCTTTTTTTATAATTTTAATAGCAGTCAACATTTTAAAATGTAACTGATATACTTTGGGAATAACAATATTCTAATGCTTGTTTGTTTTGAATTTTCACGCAAAGCTACACGAGGGCT